GTTAGTTACGCGCTAGCATTGCTCAAGTCAAAACAATAGGCTAGTGACTCTGTCCACGGTCAAGGTAAATATGGTTGATTGTAAAAGGAATTTTAATTCACGGGTTAAAACCCGTGAATCAAGTTTGTTTCACTCTAATGTGATACGGTATATACCTGTGCAATTGCGGCCTGGATAAAATATTCTATTCTCAAAGCTATCCACGTATCCATCGTTACATCTACACGTGTACAAGCCATCAGAATTGAAGCACTCTGCATATATTGAACAGTCATTAGTAGATGGATCATCGCATTCATTCAGATCTAAAATGAATGTAGTGATAAAATCAACACATTAATAAGACACGTGGTAACTAATGAGAAGTTAGGCATGGAATATTTCTATAATTAGAACCGTGTCGTATAATTGGGTGAATCAGTTTATTTATAGTATTTAATAAATAAAATAATAAAGATTGAATAAATCATGTTATACAGTAGTAATGCATGTATCGTTGGGAAGAAAACTCTGAACGAACAGTTACTCTCTCAATATAATCACGACTTTCACAAACTCCCCAACGTATTATATCAAATTGATTGGTCAAAGTCACTCTTAATCAACCGATATGCAATGCGTCATACAAATCAAGTTAGAAAAAGCAATTTTCTAATACTACATTCATACAATCTTTTTACTATCATTCGAACATTCATTGTCAAATGCTTAGCCATATTTTGATTCAAAAGCTATGTAGCATACTGCTGATCTGTCAACATATTGGTAAGACGGTGCGAGTCAGTTACTTGCCTATACATTCTCTTCCTGGAAAACTAGGAGATGGATCGGTGTAACCATCTAAACATTGACAGATGAAGGAACCTTCAGTATTAACACATGTTGCACTCGTTGAACAGTCGTTAGACCAGGATGATTGGCATTCGTCATAGTCTGTATAAAAGATTAAATATGTCAGAAGTTTGAAACAATATTATTTTTTGTGAAGACTAAATAAAATACAGTAAAAAATGTCTTTATAAAACAAAGTCTAAGAGATATATAGGAGAGCATTTTTAGTAACTTATAACACTTTAATATTGAGACATAATGTAAACACCAGTTGTATCGTTAATCGCTGCATAAATTGTATTTACCTTCAATGTATATACTATCCGCATCAACTGTTATATTTTCAAGTCCAGCAAAGGCGACAATTAAAGCATCTTTTATACTTTCTCTAGTTACCAGTTGTGATGGTAGAAACATTGTTGTGAATTCGACAATCAAACTTCCTGCTTTGAAACCATATACCTTACTTCCAAGGAAATATTCAGCCAGTTCGGTAACGGAAAGCACATTTGAAATCTGGAATTTGTGGGAAATTACATTTAGTTACTACCAATTTTGTTTGACAAGCCGGGTGATTGCTATACATCGAATACTGTCGAAAAATTGAGCTTGATAACAATTTAGGATTCTGACTGAGATTTAGCCAGCCAATGAGATTGTTTTAATTTCAACCAGTCAGCTCGTTTATCTGTTCGCCAATCATGTACATGTATTTACTTTGAGGATACAAATAGGAGACAACACGTCTCTACTCTAGTTCGCTCAATAAAGTCATCTATTGCAGACCATATGCGGTTTATTCTTCCATTCTTAAACTTGAACCTACTCTTTTAACAATTCTCACAAATACAACAAATAACCATTAATTACCAGACTTACAATTACTTGAAAATGGGCGTCCATTTCATCAAATAAACTTGATCCAGTGTTTTGCAAGTCCGAATGAAGTTCTACTAATTCATTTCTGCATCCAATAATTCTTATTTTGCCAGAGAATTTTTTTGAATCTACAAAAAAATCAGTGAGATAAATTGTTCTGAGAAAGTTGGTTATTGACAATGTATCGAACGTTGATTTCTAGTAGTTTTATAATCAAATTGTTTCTTGAAATGTTTATTTCGAGCGAGACAAAATATTCCGATGCAAAGTACTCCTACCTTGGCAATGACCGTTGTTGTCATAATATCCTGGCCTACATACACACATAGAAGCACCATTAATGTCGCTACAATAACTGTTTAGTTTTAAAGCACAGTCATTGTTGTCAACACAAACGCCTGTATATGAGCGGGATAGAGAAATGTCAATTAAAACATACATAATAAATACACAGATTTAACCAATTCAAATGTCGCACAAACTGTCTCGTATATTACCAACATAAATAAGCATCCAGAGAATTACCTGTGCGATATGATGGTGTTGATTCCGGTGATGATTCATTCTCCACTACATTAAAGCTGCATTTAAGAAGACCAATCATTTCATCATTGAGCGCCAAAACCTTGAGCCCTACATCATCTTCTAAGGAGACATTTCGCAATCCAACAGGGGGTATTGTCGCATTTGTTAATTTACTTATTTCTATTGTATCATTTTCAACAACAGTTGCATTTGTAGATTTGGTGGCTATGACTTCAGAGCTATCATCTAGTACAGATACGTATATTAAGGCTGTTGCATTTGATGAGATGTTGCCTACATGCACAATCTTAACTTCAGTTATAGGTGATGTGTCTGCCACTGTTGGGCTTGCTGTTTTGTTAGGTTGGTGCACAGTGTCATCTGTTATAGATAAAGCATCTACCCTTGCTGTTTCGTTAGGCTGGTGCACAGTGTCATCTGTTATAGATAAAGCATATACCCTTGCTGTTTGGTTTGTTGATTTGTTGGTTTCAAACACAGTGCCATCTTCCGTGACCACCAATGTTTCTTCTGTTATAGATGATATTTCTACTTCAGTTGCAGTTTTGTTGGATTCGAGCAAAAAGTCTACATCTGTGACAGGCGCTACGTCTACAATGACTGTTTGGTTTGATGATTTATTGGTTCCGAGCAAAGTGTTATTATGTGCGACAGAAAATACATCTATAATAGCTTTAGGGTTAATTGATTTGTTCGATAATATTTCAGTTGCTGGATTTGCCGTTTCGTTCGTTTCAAATACAGTGTTGTCTTCAGTGACAGATAAGTCAACTATATCTGTTGGGTTTGTTGATTTGTTTGAATCAAGCATTAAGGTTTCAATTTCCTCTGCTATAGGTACTATTTCTAGCTTGGTTGGTGAATTTCCTGTTTTGTTTGCCTTAAACATGGTGTTTTCTGTAATAGATAATGTGTCTACTCTGGCTGTTGAAATCGATTTGTTGGCTTCCAGTCCAGTGTCATCTTCTGTGACAGGAGTGTCTAAAATGGCTGTTGGACTTGCTGTTGCATTTTCTTCGTAACCAGTGTTATCTTCAGTTATGGATAGTACGTCTACTGCGGCTGATGGAATTTCTTCCGTTATAGATAATGTTTCTAGCTTAGCTTTTTGAATTGGCGTTTTGCTTGCTTTGAACACAGTGTGAGCTTGTGTGGAAGATGTGTATACTATGGCTGTTGGATTTTCTTCTTCAAGCATTGTATTATCTTCTGTGATAGACATGCCTACAATGCTTGTTGGATTTGCTGTTTTGTTTGTTTCAAGCATTGTATTATCTTCTGTGGTGGATGCGTCTTTGACCATGTTGGTTTCCACTTCCTCTGGAGTGGATGATATTTTTGAACCAATTGTTAGATTTGATGTTTTGTTCGCTTCAATCATAGTTTTATCTTTTGTAGCAGATAGGTCTACTATTATTGTAGTTTTTGCTTCTGATTGAGAATTTTCAATTTCCTTTGTTCTAGAAAATATTCCTACATCGGTTGTTGGACTTGCCGTTTTGTTTTCTTCGAGTACAGTGTCTTCTATGGTAGATGGGTAGTTTTCTTTTTTTATTACGACTGTTACATTTGAGGGTTTGTTAATCGCAGGGCCTTCTGAAGATGGTACGCTTACTGTAATTGCTGGCGTGGCTGTTATCGCGGTATTGTCTTCTAACACAGGCGGTTGAATGTTTTCTGTCTCTCCTTGCATTGATTCAGTTCTTTTATGGTATTTTCCTGCATTACCTGCAAAAATCGACAAAACATTTTAGAACACTGACGGCTAACATAATTTTGCAATTGTTTTATCAATTATGATGACAACGTTTTTATATTTGAATGTGTAGTTTCCAGTGTATGACCCAATCCGTATATTTGAATTGTGCCAATTGACATCTACCAACTAAAGCTGTGAATGTCATTGCTAATCATAAATCCATCTCTATATTTACACAAGCATCCAATTTTTTCAGGACTTATGTTAGCTTGTTTTGTTTATTTTTATTTAAAAATCGTCACAGTAAAGTGTCATTATGTGTAGACAAGACTCACAGCGTCATTACATACCTTCATTTAACAGATCGCGAAATCTGTTTGTATCAACTTCTGATGCTCCATTCCCTCCCGCCTGAGTCTTTTCGACATTTCCATCTCCTGGGACTTCAAACTCTAGGGGGAGATTTTCATCATTGAATATACTGCTATCACCAACAATCATGTGGTCATGAGGTTTAAAGAGTCCGAATATATCTGGAATAGAAATAACTTAACAAGTGAAACAATTGCCGATGGCGAGAAATTGTTGGGTGCATATATACACTATAAAGTTTGCAATACTCTAAGACCCCCCCCCCTCCCAATCGTGCGTATATGCAAAGGCTGGGTTCTATTGAAAGTTGCATTCTCATTTTGTAGAATAACTCGCAGGTAATTGCGATGAGCATGCAAATTCTTGCAAAAACTTTTCAAGTTCTTGCCGCTCTATAAAAAGCAAAGGGTAACCCCCTTACTAATTCTAACTGTCCCTCCAGTACCCCTCTTTGTCAATTGTATAGACCACACTTTTGGCCACTTATGTTTATTTAAAGGGGCATATTAAAACAAATGTTTTTGCTTTGTTTTTATTTTTTCATTTCATTTTAACTTTCAACATTTAACTTTATTGTATCACAAACAATAGCTCAATTACGGATATGTTTATCAATAAAGATTATTAATATTATTACAACATTGGAGCTGGAGTAATAGGGTTCAGGTTATGAAACACCTTCCATGCTCCTTCCAACAAGCGACTAAACAAACATTGTTGTCGGTTATCTAGAGTGCCGTTATTGAAATCGATGTGGACAGTTATATTAAACTACAATGTATATACATGCAATAGATAACATTGTCATGTTTGCATCATGTGTAATCCATTTAGCATGGTTAGTGTATATCAGATGTAATTGATAGCTGTAATGTAATCCATTTAGCATGTTTATTGTGTTATAGATGTAATTGATAGCTGTGATGTAATCGTTTTAACATGGTTGTTGTATATCAGATGTAATTGATAGTTGTGATGTAATCTATTTAGCATGATTGGTGTATATCAGATGTAATTGATAGCTGTAATGTAATGTAATCCATTCAGCATGGTTAGTGTATGTCAGATGTAATTGATAGCTGTAATGTCATCCATTTACCATGGTTAGTGTATGTCAGATGTAATTGATAGCTGTAATGTAATCCATTTAGCATGGTTAGTGTATATCAGATGTAATTGAAAGCTGTAATGTAATCCATTTAGCATGGTTGGTGTATATCAGATGTAATTGAAAAACTGTAATGTAATCCATTGAGCATGGTTGGTGTATATCAGATGTAATTGATAGTTGTGATGTAATCTATTGAGCATGATTGGTGTATATCAGATGTAATTGATAGCTGTGATGTAATGTAATCCATTTAGCATGGTTAGTGTATGTCAGATGTAATTGATAGCTGTAATGTAATCCATTTACCATGATTAGTGTATGTCAGATGTAATTGATAGCTGTAATGTAATCCATTTAGCATGGTTAGTGTATATCAGATGTAATTGAAAGCTGCAATGTAAACCATTTAGCATGGTTGGTATATATCAGATGTAATTGAAAGCTGTAATGTAATCCATTTAGCATGGTTAGAGTATATCAGATGTAATTGATACCTGTGATGTAATCTATTTAGCATGGTTGGTGTATATCAGATGTAATTGATATCTGTAATGTAATCCATTTAGCATGGTTAATTTATCTCAGATGTAATTTATAGCTGTAATGTAATCCATTTAACATGGTTAGTGCATGTCAGATGTAATTGGTAGCTGTAATGTAATCCATTTAGCATGGTTATTGTATATCAGATGTAATTGATAGCTGGGATGTAACCCATTTAGCATGGTTGGTGTATATCAGATGTAATTGATATCTGCAATGTAATCCATTTAGCATGGTTGGTGTATATCAGATGTAATTGGTAGCTGTAATGTAATCCATTTAGTATGGTTGGTGTATATCAGATGTAATTGATATCTGTAATGTAATCCATTTAGCATGGTTAATGTATGTCAGATGTAATTGATAGCTGTAATGTAATCCATTTAGTATGGTTGGTGTGTATCAGATGTAATTGATAGCTGTGATGTAATCCATTTAGCATGGTTGGTGTATATCAGATGTAATTGATATCTGTAATGTAATCCATTTAGCATGGTTTATGTATATCAGATGTAATTGGTAGCTGTAATGTAATCAATTTAGCATGGTTAGTGTATATCAGATGTAATTGGTAGCTGTAATGTAATCCATTTAGCATGGTTGGTGTACATCAGATGTAATTGGTAGCTGTAATGTAATCCATTTAGCATGGTTAGTGTATTTCAGATGTAATTGATAGCTGGGATGTAATCCATTTAGCATGGTTAGAGTATATCAGATGTAATTGATAGCTGTAATGTAATCCATTTAACATGGTTAGTGCATGTCAGATGTAATTGATAGCAGTAATGTAATCCATTTAGCATGGTCGGCGTATATCAGATGTAATTGATATCTGCAATGTAATCCATTTAGCATGGTTGGTGTATATCAGATGTAATTGGTAGCTGTAATGTAATCTATTTAGCATGGTTGGTGTATATCAGATGTAACTGATATCTGCAATGTAATCCATTTTAGCATGGTTGGTGTATATCAGATGTAATTGATAGCTGTAATGT